GCGGGGTTGGGGGGTATGGAGCGAGGGAGCGGCTGACAAGGGGAGGGCTAAGAAGCCAGCTGGGGGGACTCGGCGCGGCTTTCTGATGAGGCCCTGCTGGTCCAGGCTCTTTCAGTGGGGCGCGTGGACACGTCAATGTCATACAACCCTGGTTTCCATCTGGCATCGAGAGTTGCGGGCCCTTTCAGGCCACCCCAGGTGACAGCACTTCCCAGGTGCTCCTGAGTAACCTCGACAGACCTGGCTCTTCCACCATTTGCCAAAGTGGTGCCAGGGCAGATACAAAATAAAAATAAGAGGCTTAATTCTCCCTGTTGAAAACAAGGGAGGAGATCCCCCACCAGGTGCCTTTTCTTTCAGAGTGTCTTTCCCCATCCTTTTCAAAGGTGAGTAATCTTTGCAATGGCTTAAAAGCTTCTCTCCAGTCTCAAAAACCTGGACCCAGGAGCTACCTTTTCAAAATGCAAATGTCACGGAGGTTGTGCCCTGCTCTCCCAGTTCCTGTGGGAGGGTGAGAGGCTGACTCTGGTGGGTGGCCCACTCCAACTTGCAAAACTGCCCCCTTTCTTAAAGGTCTAAGAAGTAGGTCTTCCCGCTGGATAAAGCCAACACAAGGGGTCTCCCCAGTTGCCACGATGAAGTTAGGACTAAGTGTGCTGTCAGGTTCTCTGGCGTGAGACCCAGCTGTTGCTGATCTGGAGGACACGCCTGTAACGGGCTGTCTGCTTGCCTGTGTACCGGAGTGGGATTCCTTCCTGTCTCTGTGATCTCTTTGTGGATTGCCTGGGGTGAGCATCACATGCTGGTTTCATGCTTGTTCTATAACAAAACTGGTCTCTTTCTCTAATACCTTTGCTGGGCTGGGAAAAAATTTTGGTTTTTGAAAAAATTATATGAGGGTACTTCAAGAAGTTTGTGAAAGATTCGTATACTTTAATTCTACTTTTCCATGAACTTTTAGAAGTAGCCTCGTATTTCCCCTGCAGCAGCAACTGCCATGGTGGTGGCAGCACCACACGAGCCATGGTGTCTGGCCCCGTGTAGGCTCAGTTGTTGGGATTATCACGCCACTTAGATGTGGAGGGACAGAAAACTAGGTACAGCTCCTTGTGCTTCCACCTCGCATGCAATAAAACCAGAATTTACAACTTATGAATGCAATGTGGACATAGGCCGGGTATTAAATGGAACCATCACAGTCTGTCACTGGTGAAACTTTTTGGGGGAAATTGAGTCAGCGTCTGCAATTTGCACGTGTGTGGTTGGCCCTGGGGTAGGCTCTCAGGAGTGGGGGGCGGGAGGGTGTGCACCGGGCTCCCTTTCCTCTCCCTTCTTCTCTCAGCCCTGAGGAAGTTTCCTTTGGCCTTCTCTGTGCACGAACAATTATTTATAGAAAGTCTTTCCTGATTATCCCCCATCCAGAAAGTCTAACCATGAAAACAGGTACAAAAGCAGGTAACAGATAACCGGCTGATGGTGCAGACTAACCATGACGAGGCATCATTCTTGAGAACTCTAGGACCCCAGGGCCATGTCTGTGAGTCCTGGGCTCACAAATACCGTTCTGAGGACGTCCTCCTGGGGTCCTACAGTGGCCCCTTCACAGACCCTGGAAGAGTCTATCTTGGTTTTCCTGAAGAACAGGAACGCGGCAGGGACGCAGGTTCTTTATGCTGCTTAATTACCTTTATATAAAGATGCCTGGGGACATCTAAGTGAAATATTAGTTGAAGTGAATAACAGTTAACAGGAATAAATATAGCAGAAGAATTCCAGAGACAGGATACAAAAGCATTGAATAAAGAATAATTCCAAGGACGGATAGAAGAGAATTGGTATCAGCAGGGCCAGACACCAAGATACACACCGCACTAAAAGTTCCTAAAGTTGCTAAGATAAGGGCTTACGCAAGACAGATGACTTGATTCTAATATTCATCCCAGAGTCTTCAGTCTAGGGACCATGGAGATCCTCAGCAAGCCATGGTTCTGCCAGACTGGTGACACTGGGGAGGTCTCTACCCTGTTCACACTGAGGAGGACTCTACCCTGTTCACACTGGGGAGGTCTCTACCCTGTTCACACTGAGGAGGACTCTACCCTGTTCACACTGGGGAGGTCTCTACCCTGTCCACACTGGGGAGGTCTCTACCCTGTTGACACTTGTGAGGTCTCTACCCTGTTCACACTGAGGAGGACTCTACCCTGTTCACAGTGGGGAGGTCTCTACCCTGTTGACACTGCGGAGGTCTCTACCCTGTTGACACTTGTGAGGTCTCTAACCCTGGTCACACTGGGAGGTCTCTACCCTGTTCACACTAGGGATGCCTCTAACCCGGTCACACTGGGAGGTCTCTATCCTGTTCACACTGGGAGGTCTCTAACTCTGGTCACACTGGGTGGTCTCTAACCTGGTCACACTGGGAGGTCTCTACCCTGTTCACACTAGGGATGCCTCTAACCCGGTCACACTGGGAGGTCTCTATCCTGTTCACACTGGGTGGTCTCTAACTCTGGTCACACTGGGTGGTCTCTAACCTGGTCACACTGGGAGGTCTCTACCCTGTTCACACTAGGGATGCCTCTAACCCGGTCACACTGGGAGGTCTCTATCCTGTTCACACTGGGAGGTCTCTAACTCTGGTCACACTGGGTGGTCTCTAACCCTGGTCACACTGGGAGGTCTCTACCCTTGTCACAGTGGGGAGGTCTCTAACCTGGTCACACTGGGAGGTCTCTATCCTGTTCACACTGGGAGGTCTCTAACTCTGATCAAACTGGGAGGCCTCTAACCTGGTCACAGTGGGAGGTCTCTATCCTGTTCACACTGGGAGGTCTCTAACTCTGGTCACACTGGGTGGTCTCTAACCTGGTCACACTGGGAGGTCTCTATCCTGTTCACACTGGGAGGTCTCTAACTCTGATCAAACTGGGAGGCCTCTAACCTGGCCACACTGGGGAGGTCTCTACCCTGGTCACACTGGGGAGGTCTCTAACCCGGCCACACTGGCAGGTGTCTATCCTGGTCACACTTGTCTTCCACCGTCTCCTGCAGAACAGGTCCCTGGGTGGACTTGGCTGACCCAGCAGCTTTCTCCCCTTTCTCGCTTGCAGTTCTCTGAATAACTGCAGAATGTGCTGAGAACGCAGCATCCTGGGACGAGAACTGTTTGGAATGGCTCGGACTCTGCTCTCGTCCCTCCTACAACAGGATGTCCTGCCTCACTTTACCCAGTGATGCCAGCTGCCCCCGGGTGTGAAATGCCCAGTGGAATGCTGCTCGCGGCCCCTCAGCTGTGGTGGGACATGGGGTGGGAGCAGGGGCAGGAACTCGTGGTGCATAGAGGAAACTTGTGATGAATTATTTCATGAAATGTGAGTCATTCTCATTTAACAGGTATTAAGATTCCAGGTCGGATTTTTCGTAAAGCCTGTATAAATGCTGTTAAGGGTTAAAAATGACTAATAGATTATTTATGAAATTATTTATGAGAATAGACAAATTAATAGCAACAGAAAGAGGATGGTGGTTGTCAAGGCTGGGGGTGGGGCAGGGAGGGGACATTGGGGAGTCACTGCTCCATGGGTATGGGGTTTTCTTTCGGGGATGATGATGTTTGGAATTCGGGCGAGATGGTGTCACACAACACTGTGAATGTGCTCGGTGTTGCTGACTTGTGCACTTTCAAATAGTTAATTTTTTTAAACATCAGATTATTTACTTCCTCTTAAATTCTGTAAAATATGTATTACTTTTTGTTTTTTTTCAAATATTTTATCGTAAAATACATGTGACAAAAAATTTTACCATTTTAGCCACTTTCAAGTGGTAAGCACATTTGCATTTTTGCACGACCATCACCC